TTTATGGTTTTTATTTTTACGCTCCAATTCTTCAAAACTTCAAATAATATTGACAAAAATGTGTGTTTTATTTCTTGTAGGTTATTTTAGTACCTGGTGTTTTAGCTCATCTTGGTTCTAGTCGTACAAGAATAATTAGTTGCCTTGGTGGATGAAAACTGTTCTTGAACATTTTGTGACTTTTTTAGTTTAAAAGGTTGCTGTACACTTTTATATTAAGTGTTTTACTGTACATATAATTATCTTAAGGGTTATTTTCAGGCCTTTCTTGCGCAGTGTTGAACATCTTTCAGGTACTCAAAAAATAATTGCTTAGATATGTTCGTTAACAATTATTTTTTAAGTGCCTTTGAATAGCATAAAATATAAAAGGAAATCTACTTTACGACTTTTAGATAGGAAATATAGTCTTTAAACACTTAGATTCTTACTTAAATCATAATTCCTATACATGAAAGCTTTTCTAACATAGTTTTCTATGTCTTTGGCTGTGCTTTTTCAGAAAACTTAACAGATTGCCAGTATCATCACGATTAAGAATATATTTTCCTTTAAAATGGAGAGAAACAAGATGATTTTAAATAGAGAAAAGTAAAATACTGTAGATGCAGCCTCCCTGCTGACATGGGGAGGCAGAAGGTAGAGCCAGTTTCAACTTGTTTTGGATGCTGTTTAAAACAGATGCAGTGTGGCCCCCTCTACTCCTTGGATCTACGTTCTCATGCACACAGGCCTTTCCAGGTGTGGCTAAGTTCTCTGATTCCTGTCAGTGAACGTTCCACCAGCACAGCCTCACTTGTTTTTCAGCTAGGAATGACGAGCAGAAGGTCAGGTTATGACCTCCATTTCTCCTCATCAATGTGGCAGTAGTAGGAGGGATAAGTGGGGACAGACAGGAGACAACCCCTCTGCTGGTTGAGACACAATATTGATTAAGCATCTACAATGTAATATATCCTGGGTTTCTAGTACACCCACTTCCGCTACTCCTGAAAACCTCATTATAAGTCAAAGCATTTATTATCAGGTTTTTAATGTGACATCACTATGCCAGCCACTTCTCTGGTATATGTGTTTTGTTAAATTTTGCATTATTCTGACTAATTTGCAGTCGTGGTGTTTGAATTCCATTTTCATTTGTCAGTCATCTTTTATAATAGCCTTCTAAATTATTATTTTTCTGGTACGTGCAAGAATTGTTTTTTCCCTCTTTTTTTTAATGGGGGTTTTCAATTTCTGTAATGTCTGAAATTTTAACAATTTATATGTATTATATGTGAGTATATGAACAGAAAAATTAATAGGTACTCCAGGGAATAAGGTCCTAGAGTACCTATTTGAAACATCCTATTTAGTAAATAGGATGTTTACTAAATTAACGTTTATAAGAGCAAAAAATCTGAAACATTAAATATCCAATAATAGAAAAATGGTTGAATAAATTATTTATGACCATGCAATGGAAGATTGTACAGGGATGTTATTGTTTCTAAACCTTCTCAGTGGACAGATCTAGGAAATATGTGAACGTTGACAGACACACAATGCACTCATTAATCACATATACATCTGTATCTGTTCATTTATCTATCTTTATATCTTTATATCTTTATTAGAACTCATGAGTTCACACTGATAACTCCCATTACAAGCCAACATCACATGATTTATTTTCGACCTCTCCCTTTCTATATTTATTCCCCTCTTTTTTGTCAGTGAGAAATCTTGGTCCCATTATCCTCAGTATATTTACTTATTTGATCAATTTCCTTGTGTATAGCAGTCTCTTGACCATGTGGGCTGTCTCCCTGGCCCACTACCGTGAACTCAGGTTGGTTCTATTCACCAAGTTCTCCAGACTCCTAGCCCCCACTGGCGAGCTTATCTCTTGATGTGTAGAGAACACTTTGAGAATTTTTGAAGGAAGATACCTTGAAAATTTAGGGAGAGTCATTATTTTGCATGAAGAATATTTTGGAAAGAGGATCTCTTAAACTTATTACTGCACTTGTAATTCTCTCCACATGATTAGTCTAGTAGCAAAGATATAAATCCACACCCTGCTGCTGTCCTTTCCTGCTAATGTAGGGGGAAAATACACCCATTAGTTTTTCCATTGTATTGCTTGTTTATATTGAAAGGAAAGTGACAGTTGAGTATGTTAAAGACATTATGATTCAAGATTGATTGGGTTACATTTCAGCCATCAAGTCATTTGATTTACATTTATCTTCTATCTAGTTTCTAAGATATCTGTCATTGTGATGCCACAGTGCCCCAAACTACCTTCTAACAATGTTTCCTGTGGCTTCCATGGCTTGTGTTGGAGTAAGGTGGTCTTTTTTCATCACTCAGTAGGATTCAAAGGCCCAGGTAGAAGCATTTGCTTGATGGAGCCCAGGCCACATTTTAAAAAGGCCAGATTTGGTATGCTTTTTTATTTAATTGTTTTGGTATTCCCTGGGCAAAATAGTAATAGAAAGAAACAACAACTTTCCCAGTATTGAACTTCAAAGATTAAGATATTTGCTCAGAAAAACTTGACCCTCTTACGTGGTGAAATAGGTCAGTAAAATGATTTGAGGAGTTGGTGGTTAAAGAATGAGAAGGCACTGGTTGCATATTTGTTAAGTCTAGTTAAGCTCTAAGTGATCATTTTGGTTCATTCTATTTGGCTCATGGATTAAAGAGCATAACTTCCAGGTGGCTGATAATTGAGTCATAAAATACATCTGGCTTTTCTGGTTGATTTTAACTGTAGGTGAAGAAATTCACTGGGTATTTAAAGGTAATACTCTTTGGAAAAGGATGGTAATTTGTCCATAAATATGATCAGGATCAGCATTTTAAGAATTTTGTTATACAGGCCAAAGTTCACTTTAACAGATGCCGTAATAAAATATTTTCAAGCCTTTTCTGATGGCTCACTGTAAGCACTAATTCATATAAAATTTTTCAGTGCAGTACAAGGAGTTGGATCAGGTCATGATGCAAGATTTGATTTTTATCACACAACACTTAATGGAAACTCATTTTACTAGAATTCTGAGCTTAATAATGGTTATACTTTTGAGTGCTTACAGTAAGCCAGGCAATGTGTAAAGTTCTCTCTCTCTCTATATATATATCTATATGTAGGTATATCTATATATATGTATCTCTATATATCTATATGTAGGTATTCTTTTAATTCTTATAATAACCCTATAAAGTAAATGTTATTATTGACACTTAGGATGGTACAGAGAGAAATTATTTGTCCAAGGTCACACAGGTAGTGGTGGAATTGGGTTTTAAAGCCATATTTGTCTGACTCTCAAGCTTGCTTTTGACGGCAACACTGTGGAAGAAAATTCATTAATTAAATTACAAATTAACTCTGGATTACCATTCTTGAATTTTCAGATTAAGAGATTTCCTTGTCACTAGTTCTTAGAGACCAATTTTCTCTTTTTAGATTCAGTAACTCAAGAAATGTCATTCCTTCTAAGATTCATTCTCTGAGTTTAAAGAATATAAATTGTTATTGTCACATAGTCTTTTACTGTTTATACTATTCTTATACATGTTGTCATATTGGATGTAGGGGTGAGATGTTTTCTCACAGTTTAGGTAGGATGGGCAGGGTATGATAGGTGGCATGGCATCTCAAATCATCTCTAATGCTCAAAACTACTGATTGTTAGGGATTTGTGAAAATAATTGTTTCTTGAAAAACCTGTGGGTACCATCTCGGCGGCAACAAACACTGAACTTTACCAAGCATTTCATAATAGAATATTTGACTTTATTTGTATTCAGTTTTCACTTTCAAGCTTCAAATTAACTTCAGGTTTTCTAGGATTAGGAAAACAGGTTTTATTCTTCTTGTTATAATTTTAATGGATTTGACTGAGTTTACTATCTTTTAAGTCTTTTATATGTACATTAGGGAACCTGTGAATTATAGAACTCTCATTTTAGCATTAAAAAATGTTTACCCTTACCCTAACCTTTATTATGAATGTTTCTTTCCTGCTCAGTTTAGTCTGTGTGGTTGTAAAACTTCCTAGGAAACACACATACAGAAAAAAAAAGTTCTGATGTTAGTCGCGATAATGTAGCAATAGCTTAAGTTCAAGAAATGAATATGGCCAACTTGATGCAGGATGAGAGCCAAAATCCACTGGTGTCATGACAAAAGGCTGCAAAATAATTTTGCAAAAATTTAATACTCATTATACTGGTTTTGTTTACTAAAATTCTGTTACTTTGAATATGAAATGTTTTCTCCCTCAATTTTATTTTTTTAACTACAGTTTTATTTAAATATATTTAATCAAGCTGTTTTCAGGGTGCTATATGGAGCCCTAAAAAGCCAGATACGGTTCTGGGGTCAGGAGTTAAATGGATTCAAGGCTGCATCTGTGAATCCCTCTACAGCTGGCTTTGTGCACATACTTCCAACACTACCTCAACACTTTTTAGTCATATACATATAGACACATGCCCTGGCAGATAGTGGGACAAGCCATTATGTCTTTATTGTCATTAGTAGAGCTCTCAGGAAAGGCCTGCTTTATATTCCAACAAGGGAACTTATTATATGTGAATGGAAGAATTAACGAAGACCTGAAGATTTTTTTCTTTAGTTTAGAAATTGGTACACTCCTGTATGTGTGTTAGATAAATTTTTTTCTTCTAGGTAACCGTCATCTGGAAAAGGTGGAAATTATTTGTAATTTGCATGTCATTATAATGATATTTTAAAAGCTTCATGGCTCTGGACCTCAGGTCAGGGCTTAGAAACTGTTTCCTGGTAGCAAATTAAGCATTCCTTATAACAGGATGTGAACTGCAACAAAATGCTCTAGGCGATATTAAATTGGGGTGATTTTTTAGAAAGTGACAAATGTTTTATGTTTCCTAAACCTGAGAGAGGTTCTACCAGCTCTAAATGGCTGCCAAGTTATGTTATCACTTGCCTGCTTTGTAACTGCCTCAATTATTTCCTTCTCCAGCCCTGTATGATGAGATTCGTCAGTTTCGCAAGGCCTGTGGGGAGGCTCATCTCAAAACCATCTTAGCAACAGGAGAACTTGGATCACTAACTAATGTCTATAAAGCCAGTATGATAGCAATGATGGCAGGTAAGCATATTATATTCAAATGATGATATATATTGAATTGGTGTGTTTAGGAGAAACAAGTAAGTGAAAACATTTGGCTGTTAACTAGAAGTGCTAACCACTTGTTATGGTCACATAGTCTTTTATTTTTATTGTGGGAGGGGTCAGATATTTTGTGACTACATGTACGATGTGAGGTGTTCAGACACTTGGCTTTCTTCCACATTTTTTGATGGCATTTCATTGCTGCACTATCCTTGTAAGACAGTAGATGGCTCTCTTGTTAGTGAATTGCCTTCTGTGTTATTCTTTGATTATTCATTCATCAACATATGTTAGACAGAAATTTCTTTAACTCTGACATATTCCTCTCTGTGAATTTAAATGTTTGATTTTTCTCAGAGATGATATATTTATATGGTTAAAGGCAACCGGTGCTTTTGTTTGTGTTAATTCTTTCTTTTTAAGTGTAGTACAGTACCATTGTACTTCCAAACGTAGGTTGACTTATTCTTTATCTAGATGAAAAGGAGATCTATCCATTCGCATGTCCAAGCTTGAAACCCAGGAGTCATGCTTGAGTCATTCTTTTTCTCACCTTCATATAAATCAGTGAACAATTCTTGAGAGTTCAGCCTCTTTATCTAATACGTCTCCTCTCCATTCTGAGTGCTGCTGTTAGGCCATTGTCATTTCCCATGTGGGTCACTTCAACAGTCTCCTAACTAGTTTCCCTGTCTGTACTTTTGTTCCCTTCCAACCTGTTCTCCACAGTGCTGCCAGAATGATCCCTTAAGCATGCTAATTTGATTGTGGTAATGCTTTCTTAAAATACTTCAGTGGCTTTCCTTCATCTTTAAGGTAAACTAAAATTTTCAGCCTGATCTTTTTTAACTTTTATTTTATATTAGTTTCAGGTATACAGTACACTGGTTAGACATTTATACAGTTTATGAAGCGATCCCCCCGATTACTCTAGTACCCATCTGGCTCTACACATAGCCCTTTACAATCAGCCTGATTTTTAAAATGATCCTTCCCAAGACCCTGCCTGTGCCTGTCATCTCCTCCCTTCACACTATGCTCCAGCTCTGTGGAATTACTTGCAGTTCTCTTTGGATGGCACCGTCCAACCCTTTGAGTCTTTGTGCTGTGCTCCCTGCCCTGAAATCTCTTTTGCCCAAATAACTCCTTAACATTTTTGGATTCAGCACAGGTGTCACTCTTCTTAAAAATATCCCCCCCTCCCCCAAAAAAGAATATTTCCCCAATACTGCTTCCTCTCCCACCACTTGGTTTATTATCTTCTCTGGGTGCCCCCATAGCATTCTGTTAAAACCTCTATTAGATAACTTGTTACATTATACACTTGACTTTGATTGAGTATTGAATTTCTAGGTGCCCTGTTAGTGGATATGTGACTTCTCATGTCTTAAATCTGATCCTCAATGTAGTCACCCTCTAGGTTTTTATACTTTTGTACTTTTCGAATACTCTGTCAGACTTCTCATTGTTCCCTGGAACTCTACTGAAGATCAGCCTAAGAGACACATTATAATGATAATATTGCTCTGGTCACTGCTGCTATCTCCTGAGGATTTCTGCTCTAGTTGTCTCATTTAGAGCAAAATTTCTGAAAACCTAAGGATAAGAAGGAATTGAACACTTTAAACAGTGGGTTGTCTTCTCAATAATAGAAGACTCTCTGCAACTCTTAGGAACCTAGGAAAAGCCCCTTGGAGTCATAAGTAGACAAAGAGTCTCCCTTTTTCATGCTCCTTACCAGAACAAAGGATTGTTAGCCCATAATGCTGTCATTTAGGTCACAGTGAAAGTGTATTCATTCTGGGACATCAGCCAACTCTATCCTAATCATTACACCTACTGCTCATGATAGAAACAGGATATTAGGTCAGAATGCTTGGACACCTCTGTTCTACCCTCTTCCCCACCCCATCCACAGACAAACATGAGACTGGAAACACACTCTCCTTTGTCTCTTCCTGTCTACTGTATCTGTGTTCATGTTGTTGTTTATCTCCTTCATTTCTTCACTTAATCAGTGTCTATTGAGTACTTACTGTGAGTAATATAACTTGTATTTATGGTATGCTTTACCAAATACTTTGAAATGGTATTTCTTTCATGTTAGCCCTATAGTGGATGAAATTTAAGATTGAGTGACTTGTTTAATGTCACAAAACTTAGGACCACATATATTGGAAACCCAGATTTTCTGGCTCCAGCCTTATTTCTTTTTCACTTGTAACAACTGCCTCCCAAGGCACCATTCTAGATCTTATTATGAATTAGATACAGGCTTTATGAAGTATTATATTTGGAAGCATCTAGCACACTTCTTGGCCCACAGCTTATGCATCGTATTCTGTTAAGAAGGTATATAATAAAAATGAAATATTTTTTGAAGAATTTTTAAAATTTTTAACAATTGTAGAGTAAATTCATATTGCTTCCTATATCTATGGTATTTAAATTTTTAAAAAATGTTTTCTTAAAAAAATCGACTTCACTGAGGTAAATTTACACTTAATAAAGTTCAGGCGTTAAGTGTACAGTGTGATGCATTTTGACAATTTTTATATTCCATCATCCCAGAAATATCATTTGTGCCCCTTTGCTGCGAGTTCCACTTGTCTCACCTTCTACCCCAGTTGCTATCACTGATCTGATTTTGTCACTATAGATTAGCTTTGCCAGTTTTAGAACACCATATAATTAAACATGTGTAAGATTTTGTGCTTATCTCCCGCTACCCAAGTTAATAGCTGTGAGATCTGTCCATGTTGTTCCATAGATGAGTTTGCTTAGTATTCCATTTACAAATATACTGAGTTGCTAAATTTATTGGTATAAAGTTGTTTTTAATATTCTCTTATTAGTCTGATGTCTATAGGATCTGTAGTTGTATCCTTTTTTATTTCAGATTACAGTTGTCGTCGTTACTGGTGGTTATTTTTTGTTGTTTTTTTTTGTTTTTGGTAGGAAATGTCTTGCCTAGTGGTCTGCCAATTTTATTAATCATTTTAATAAACGAGTTTTTGCTTTATCATTTTTTTCATTATTTAGTTTAAAATGTTTTTTAATTTTCCTTAGACTTCTCTTATTACTCAGAATCTTATTAGAGTGTTTTTTAGAATGAAGTGTTTAATTTCCAAATATTTTCTGCTTTCCTGGATATCTTATTGTTGACTCATAATGTAAAATTCTGTTTTGATCAGAGGCTAACTATTGGAAGAATATTTTGTCTTTTGTAAATAAAGAGACTAATTTTATAGCTCATTTTATGATATATTTAGGTATATGCTTCAAGTGCTCTTGAAAAGAATCGTGTACTTGCAAATATTAGTGGCAGTGTTCTGTAAATGTCAATTACATCAAGTTGGTTGGTAGCATTTTTCAAAACTGGTTTTGTTTTGTTTTGGTTTACTTGTTCTATTTAATACCACGAGGGGTATTAAAATCTCCAAATATGATTATGGATTTGTCTACTTGTCCCTTTAGTTGTGGGACAAGTTGGGAGTATAAAAATACATTTTTTTAAATGTATTTCGGAACTCTGTTATTATTTATATACACTTTTAGGATTGTTAATTAGCACTTTCATCATTATGACATGTCGCTCTTTATCTCTGATACTAGTCTTTGTCTGAAGATCTAGTTTGTCTCATATTAACCTGGTCACACCAGCTTTTTTGTGCCTACTGTTTGCATGGTATATCTTTTTTCATCCTTTTATTTTCAACCCATCTGTGGTTATATATTTAAAGTTTATCTCCTGCAAGCAGTCTTTTTAAATCCATTATGATAATCTCTACTTTTTAACTGGAATGCTCTGTCCATTTCCATTTCTCATATTATTGATAGGAGAGGATTTAAGTCTATCATCTTGAGATTTATTTCTTCTTGAGATCTATTTATTGTTTCATTTTTAATGCCACCTTTAGGATTCATTAAATAGTTTATAGTATTTCATTTTACTTTTTCTATCGGCTTTATGTATATATACAACCACTTTGTATTTTTTTAGTGATTTCTCTAGCAATTACAATATGTGTCTTTATCACTGGCTACCTAGAATTAATATTGTTCCACTTTACACTTTATATGTCACAAATAAAAGACCCTTACAATAGTTTCATTTACACCCTCATCAGTCCTTTGAATTATTTTCATGTTCTTCTTCCACCTATGTTATAAACTCCTTACGAGGATGCAATTTTTATTTTAAGTTATTTGTCTTTTAAGGAAATTAAAAGAAAAAACTAGTGAAGCTAGTCTTTTATATTTTTTCACATATATATCATTTCCAACTTTATTCCCTCTTGTAAGTCTGCTGGTGATTTATTCTCTCAGGTTCTATTCACCTGCAAATGTCTTTATTTTATCCCTATGTTTCAAAGATAGTTTACTCTATATAGAATTCTGGGTCGACTGTTTTATTTTTATTTCAGCACTTTAAACATGTCATTCTATTCCTTGGAATTTCATTTATTTATTTTTTATTTTTTTTATTTTTTTTGTAAGTAATATCACATTTTACTCTGGCTGTGGTCAATCAGTATTTTCTCTTTATCATTGTTTTTCCGCTAGTTTGACCATGATGTGCCTAAGTATGGTTTTCTTTGTATTTATTCTATTTGTAGTTTGCTGAGCTTCTTGGATCTTGGATCTGTAGGTTAAAGTTTTCTACCCAAATTAGGACATTTTAAAAATTATTTTTTCAGATATATTTTCTGCCTCATTCTATTTCTCTTTTCCTTCGAGGATCCCAGGTACATTAGCATTAGATGTTGTTCCACAGTTTATCGAAGTCTTGTTTATTTCTTAATCTTTTTTCCCTCTCTGTTCTTCTGATTGGCTAATTTACATAGATCTTCCTTCAAATTCATTGTCCCTTATTTTCTATCCCAAATGTGCATTTAAGTCCATCCAGTGATATTGATGCTGCTGTATATGTTTAGGTTTAGAATTTCCATTAGATTCTTTACTGTAATTTTTAT